TGTTTGATAACTTTGTGGCATTTTTCTACGTTAAAGTTGCTATGTGATCACACATTGTTGCTGTCATGTGCCCTCTGACTACTTTAACACCTGAATCTATCCTTTCTGGAGAAGTTCAAAGCTCCAGGACTATTTCCAAATAAGATTTATTGGCTTCAGGAAAAGAAGTGGATCGGAAGGAGGAACAAGCTGGCAAAAGCATTTTTCTGTGGTGAAACCAGAGGAAGTTCTGTTTTTGTTAATAATCACACTAAACTCTGCTGAACAAAAACAAACAGGCATTTAAATTACAAAACAGGCCAAGATTTGCATCCTTTTAGCCACTCTTGTAAGTCCTGTGAAAAGTCATGTGGTGTTGGGAACAGCCTGCTATGAGCAGCACCTCCAATGGCTGAGGGTGTCCAAGAGATTGCCTGACTCTCGCATGTACATTTATTGTGATTTACTGACGCAGCAACTGATTGTGGGGGAAAGGAGAAGATTTTTAATCAGATGTTAAAGTAAAAATGCCCAAACAAACTTGCAATGACTATTTATTTCATTAGCCATCATCCACAAAGGACCATAGACATCTCTCTCCATTAGAGAGAGACATTTGGTTTTATATAGCTTGAGGGGACCATTGCACAGGCATGGGATAAGATGATGAAGCTGGCCTCCTTGAAACAGCTTGATTGGGAATTGAATCCACACTGCTGACATCATTCTGCATCACATGCTGGACAACTGAGGTAACCAACCCCTTGCTAAATTAAATATAGTTTTAAAATTAATGTTCAAGAGATTTATTATTTACAGGGTTGAAAATACTTGGATTGGATCACTAGTTGATAATTAATTTTACTTGATTGTTGCAATTGGCATTTCGCAATGCCCTGGGGCTAGGGAAGAACTCGCAAAGGATCCTGGCCCTGAATCTCTACCAGTAAATGAATGTGTCTGTCTGCACTGGTATATACTGCATGAAATTCTAACATTGAAGGTGCCACTGCATAAGATGGACACATGTAAAATGGTCACTTGGATAGAAGTCACCTGTACACTTAAACTGACAAGGAGCAAATCATGCAGTTGGAGTGGGTGTGGTGGCTACAGAAGTTTTTATAGCTGTGTGAAAAGCATAAAAGCCAGAGTTAGAGGGACACTGAATTCCGAGAGGGTTGTGGGCTGGAGTAATGTATAGAGATTAGGAAATTGAAAATTTTTAAATGGAAATTACACTTCAATAAAGTAAAAGATACTGCTATTTCAATGGCACCATATGTGAAAACACCTGAAAAAAATCCCCTCGGAATAAATATATTTTTGGAATGCAGTGATGAGCAAACACATCAAGCATCCAGCACTAACAGTATCACATATACCGTAATAATACAATGAAAAATTATTTTACTTTAAAGGCAGTGTTAGTTGAAGGTGGAATTTCAACCAAGACACTGGAATAACCATGGAATCTTGCTGTACGGTATGAGGCCATTCACCCATTGTATCTATGTTGGTTCTCTCCAATTAGTCCTGCTGATTTTTCTCTATCAAATCAAATTCCCTTCTGAAATTTAAGACCATAAAACTCCGTAGCAGAAGCAGGCCATTCAACCCATCAAGTCTGGTCTGCCATACAATGAAATAATGGCAGATCGACTAACCCTCAACTTTACTTTCTTGCCATATCCCGATAACCCTTGATTCTCTTACTGATTAAAAATCTATATATCGCAATCTTGAATAGCCTTAATGAGCCAGCTACTACAGCCCTGTCTGATAAATAATTCAACAGATTCACTACACTTTGAGAGAAAAAAATTCTTCCTCATCTCTGTCCTAAAGGGGCGATCCTTTACTCTGAGATGATGCCATCTGATTCTAGACTCTCTCACAAGGGCAAATAACCTCTCCACAATTACCCTGTCAAGCCCTTAAGAATCCAAATATTTCAATAAGGTCTACTCTCATTCTTCTAAACTCTAAACATTACAAGCCCAATCTACTCAACTTTTCCTCATAGGAAAATCCTTCCATACCTGGGATCAACCTAGTGAAAGTTTTCTGGACTGTTTCCAATGCCAGTCTATTTTTCCTTAGATAAGGAGCCTAAAACTGTTCACAGTATTCCAACTGTGGTCTGACAGATGCCTTGTTTAGATTTAGCAACACCCTCCCCCTACTTTTATAATCTATTCCCTTTGAAATAAAGACAAACAGAACATTTATCTTCCCTATTACCTTCTGAACGTGGATGTTAGCTTTTTGTGATTCATGGATAATGACCTCTAAATCCAAATGTGCTGCAGCCTTTTCCCACTATTTAAATAATATTCAGGTCTTCTATTCTTCCTGTCAAAGTGCTTAACCTCACATTTTTCCACTGTATATTCTATTTGCCAAGTCTTTGACCACTCACCTAACTTATCTATATCCCTCTATGGACTCCTTATATGATCTTCACTACTTAACTCACATTTATCTAAATTAAACTCCATCTGCCACTCCTCAGCCCATTGGCCCATCTGTTCAAGGTCCCGTTGTACTTTGAGGTAACCCTCTTCACGGTCCGCTACACCGCCAATTTTGGTGTCATCTGCAAACTTATTAACCATACCTCCTATGCTCACATTCAAATCATTTATATTAATGACAAAAAGCAGTGGACCCAGCACCGACCCTTGTGACACACCACTGGTCACAGGCCTCCAGTCTGAAAAGCAACCCTGCACCACGAACCTCTGTCTTCTACTTCCTCAAAGAATTCTAATAAATTTGTCAGGTATTATTTCCCTTCAAGAAGCCTTGCTGACTTTGTGTGATTATATTATGTGTTTCTAAATGCTCTGCTATTACATTCTTTATAAAGTACACTAACGTATTCCCAACAACAGACGTTAAGCTAACTGGCATTTAGTTATGTTTTTGTTTTTCCCTTCATTTTTGAGTAAGCATGTTACCTTTCCAATTTCTGGAACACTTTCAGAATCTAAAGATTCTTGGAAGATTACTAGCAGTGCATCCACAGTCTCTGCAGCTACTTCCTTTAAATCATAGGATGTAGCCCATTAGCTCCAGGGACTTATCTGTTAAGTTTACTGTTTAATTTGTTTCCAATACCCTTTTGGACAGATCTTAACAACTCACTCTGTAAATTCATTGATGCCAATTCTTTTGGCAATAGTCTTAAATTTGTACACTTTGGTTTTCAATTGTCCTGCTGGTGGCTACTAGTTGTTTATAAATCATAACTTTTCAGACTCTGAACGCTTCTCATAACTTTCTCTGTTCAAAAAGGAACAATTCCAGCTCCTCTAGTTTCAATACATTACCACAGTCCCTCATCCCTGATACTTTCCTATAGAATTATAAAATGATTACAGGACAGAAGGAGGCCATTTGGCCCACCATATCCTGTCAAATAATGGGCTCAAGTTCCACTTTAGGCTTAAGGATTGGAGTTCCCAGCCTTAACCTGACATTGCAGGGTGTGTGCTGCATGCTGGGATGTGAACCTAACTCCTGAAGTGTCCCTAACAGGAGATATAACTAGACTAAAAGGTATCAAATATTCTTCAAAATACCTATCTTACAATGATGCAGTAATTTCTCCATTTCATAGGAAATTTAAACTTATTTCTTGAAGAAATCCAACATGAGCATTACAAACTTCCTCCCACGTTGTGTCAAAACACATTTATATTTGAAAAATGCCAACAGCGTATGCAGCACTAATTATTTTGATCTGATGAGAACTAGGAAAACCATAAAGTACCTAGAGTTAAGTCACTCTATGCAGTGGCAAAGGATCTATCATTGACAGCATCACCTGTGAATATTCCTGAAAAAATCTGCTAAACTCCTTATTCTAGATTACTATTCAGCTCAATCGGTTGGAAGGATGTACACATGGGTGTCAGCATCAAACAGGATTGTGTATGATTGGTCATGAACCTCCCTAAAGTCAAATTGTTTGTTGGCATCAATCACTTACAGTGGTGTAGTAGTAGGAGTAGGTAAATGGTGATGTTAATGGACTAGCAACAGTAGGCTGACCTTATGAGATGTGGGTTCAAATCCTACTATGATAGCTAATGGACCTACAAGCTTACAGCATAAAACTAGTATCAAAGGGCTTTTGTAGGTCAGTGGTAGTGCCCATACCCCCTTGGCTAGGAGGTCTAGCTTTGTGCTCACCTACTCCAGATCTTCACAATGACAGCTCTAAACAAATTGATTAGACCATATTTAAGTCTGTTATTTTGGAGACATAGGTATTGGAACATTGAAATCTCTGCATGCTCTAATTAATACAGCACTGTTTTTTCTGAAGCATAAAGTGGTGGTTTATGTAATTCGATGGAAGTATTTGTGGCTGAAAATCTAGCTTCTCATTACAAAGCAAATGACTGAAGCAGTGTGAAAACAGACCATGACATGTACATGCACTTGTTAAAGATGCCTCCAAGTCTAGTGAAGTACCAATAAAAAGCTTCAAATTAAGCATCCAAAACTAGCCTCAGCTTGTGGCATACTGGTAGTGTCTCTACCTTTGAGCTAGGACACCGAGGTTCAAGTCGCACCTACTCCAGACGGAGGTATGTTACAACATTAAGTAATTGCAGATGCTGTAAATCAGGAACAAAAACAGAAGCTGCTGGAAAAGCTCAGCAGGTCTGGCAGTATCTGTGAAGGAAGAAGCAGAGTTAACGTTTCGGGTCCGGTGACCCTTCTTCCAGACCCGAAACGTTAACTATGTTACAACATCTCTGAGTGAGGCTAATTACAAAATATCTCAAACTGGCCTCAGTCACTAGTCTCCTCCTTAAAGCTGGCCTTTTTTATTTTGACCATCTGGCCTCCCGGCTCATGGGTCTAATCTTGCTTCACAACACTCCCGCGAAAAAGCCTCGGGACCGCTTCTTCACGCTAAAGGCGCCAGATAAATATAAGTCGTTGCTGCGGCGCGAGTTTTAAAAAAAAAAGCCGGGATGGTATTTTTTTTCAAAAGCTCCCTCCGGTTATCAAAATGAAAAGCACCCTTCCTAGCCACTTCAATCGGCGTTGTGTTGGCGAACCGTAGAATTTATTCTCTGCGGCCATAGTTCTCGGAATGAGCAGCGCTTGCGCCTTGGTAATGGTTGCATTGCACTGAGAGGAACGGGACTCCCTCCCCTAAAATATGGGGAAACAATGTATCGGAGAGGAAATGCTCTGGGTTACTTTGTTGTAACTAGTTTTCAAGAGCACATCGGGACGGGCTGGGAAGTATGAAGGAGATGGTTGGAGGTTGCTGCGTGTGTTCTGACGAGAGGGGATGGGCTGAGAATCCTTTGGTCTACTGTGACGGGCATGGTTGCAATGTTGCTGTTCATCAAGGTAAAGGGGAGAGAGAGAGAGGGGAAGGCATTTTTTTTTAGAAAAGGGCTTAAGCCTTTGCAAGAGGATGTGGCGCATTTCAAGCCTTTCACTTCACACCTTCTTGAAATGTAACGTGATCTTTTCTCACCCACCTTGCAAAATTCCAACAATAACGTTTAAGATTTTGTTTTAAATCGAGAAGTTGCAACATTAATCCGTCTTTCTTCTTGTGGTCGGAAGAGTCCAGTTGTCAGTCACGTAGACTTTAGTATTTAAAAATAAACCATGTTTTGGCAGCATTTTTGTAAATGTATCTTTTCAGATGTTTTATATTGTGATTTATAATATGCCTTTTTTGTCAAAATATGTAAATCTAACTTTGTTTCCTCTCTCTCTGGCGTTTGATGTACTTTTCAGCCAGCCACATTGACCTGTGTGTGATTATTAATCCGCTAGCAAGGACTATCAAGCAGCGTGGGGAAGCGAAAGTAGGATTTGTGGGGGGTGGGGGTGGGGGTGCTGGTGCCATGTTCACCTACACTGTTAATTTCACCTGCCAATCATTTGTGTTGCTGTTAGTTTGTTGCTGGTTACGTTAGCAACTACTGGTGTTTCTGTTTGTACAGTCAGCCATAAGCCTCAGCTCCAGCTGATGTCCTGCCGGTTAAATGCACCACTTAATATGGTATTAAACGACATGTGCTAGATAAGTCCAGCCCCAGTCCCCTAGACTGGGCGAGCCAAGATGGCCATGAGGTCTCCTTTTAATGCTTGACCGACTGCTACTAGGGTTAGGGAAAGAGATATCAACCATTAAAACCAACTCACATCAGTATAAGGGACTTTTTAGTTACCAGAAAGTAATCAGGCAAAACCATTGGCAGGGAGCCAAAGCGGATGACATTGGATTAGGTAACCAACAAGTAGGTCAAAGGGTTGGATTATAGGGAGGGTTTGGAGCAGAAGGGAGAGCACTACAAAAGCTTATAGAGGAAATTCCAGAGCTTGATGTTACAGGGATAGGGAGAGGTGAGGACATGGAGGGACCTGAACACAGGGAAGATCATTTTAAAATCTATGGACCATATTGAATGCACACAATGAACATGATTAGATTTGCATGTGCATATCCTCTACATTAGGATAACTTGCCAACTCACTGTCTATGCATATGCAGGCACATGACTGCTTGGTAACAGTATTACAGGTACAGGTGGAAAAGCCACTAGCAAGAATTTCTCCCCAACTCTTGTTGTGATGTAATTGTGCACAACCTGGGAACGTCAGTTCTGAATTTCCCCAACTATGCAGGCGAGAATCAGCTGGTGCTCGCTGTTTTGAGTAATTAGAATTTTAGGCATCTTCAGTCTGTCAATCTGGAACTCTGTCAGGTTTTTGGATTATTAGAACAGAAGTGCAGGTGATTTTGGCATTGGATCAAAAAATTTCTGTATCATACTGTTTACATTTAACATTTATGTATACACAGAGGGAAGGTTAGAGGAGTCATGACCAAAGTTACTAGAGCTAGGGAGGGAGGTGCTACCAATAAATCCACCCTATTGTTTTCAAGAGAAGGAAAAGGGTGAAGCAGATAAGTGTAGGATGGTGCTGTTGTAACCAATGAATACTGTTTGGGTATTTATAACTGTTTTTCCCCCTGTTTCTATTTGCAGCTTGTTATGGAATCGTTCAGGTCCCAACTGGACCCTGGTTCTGCAGGAAGTGTGAATCTCAGGAACGAGCTGCTAGAGTGGTGTGTATTTATCAGATTGCCTCAGAATTCTGCTAAATGTAGCTGTATATTAAACCTTGAAAGCAGAGGGGGCATGTCTTCATATTGTAATGCATTGTCTGTGATGGTTTGGACATGTAACATATGCTGTATCTAACTTATAAGGTTGGAACTTTGTCACAGATACAGTTTACCCTCACTGATAGCATGGTTGATAAGTGCATGTCATGGTTCAACAGTAAGCGAAAGGAGTCAGGAACATCCCAGGTTTGATTGATGGTTTTGCTGCTTAGGGTTAGAGTTAGTCTCAGGAAGTCTTGGGTTGAGGAGAAGATAAATTAGCTGATAAATCCATAAGAAATGGAACAGGAGTAGGCCATTTGGACCCATGAGCCTGCTCACCATTCAATAGGATCATGACTGATTGAACATTCCCCATAACCCTCGATACCTCTATTGATTGAGAATCTGTCTATCTCAGCCTTAAGTATACAAAAGAACTTTGCTCCCTCGGCTCTCTGTGGCAAGGATTTCCAAAGTTTCTCAACCCTCTGAAAGAGACCTCCTCTTAAACCTAAGTTAGTGTTCCTTTATTCTGAGACTATGCACTCTGGTGCTAGCCTCTCCTATGATGGGAAACATCCTTTCAGTATTTACCCTGTCAAGCCCCTTAAGAATCTCATGTTTCAATGAGGTCACCTCTCATTCTTCTAAATTCCAGTGAGTAGAGTCCCAACTTGTTTAACCTTTGCTCATAAGAAAATCCTGGGGTCGTCATTCCTGCTCAATGACCACTGGCCATGCTAGAATGATTGAATGATTCATCACAGAATGAGGCCAGATGGCTTCTCATGTCTGTGCCAACTCTTTGAAAGCTATCCAATTCAACTCGTTTCCCTGCTCCTTCCCTGAAAACATGTCCCCCTTCATGTATTTATCTAACTTCCTTTTGAACATTATTACTGAATCTGCTTCCACCACCCTTTCAAGCAGTACATTTCAGATTATTACAGCTCCCTGTTCAAAATGGATTATTTTCATTCTCTAGTTCTTTTGCCAATTACATTACATCTGTGTCCCTCCGGTTACAATACTTCTGCCACTGGGAGCAGTTTCTCTGAAAGCCCACCATGATTTTGAAGACCTCCAGTAACGCTCTGCTTAACTTTCTCGGCTCTAAGGCAACAATCCAAATTTATCTCGTCTCTATGATAGATTTGGTTCAACTTTGGGATCCACTTGTGCAGGACTAAAGAAAGAGATCAGGAGATTGGGAATAGCTAAAATACTGTATGAGAGTTGACATGGACGTGACGGGTCGAATGGCCTCTTTCTGTGCTGTAAACATTCTCTGATTTGTCTCTTTTCCATCACCCATTTCTGACTGATAAAGCTTGCTGACTCTCACTGTGTAGGCTTCACCTTTAGAGCTCTCAGTAGGGTGTAGTGCTGGCAAATTGCCAGTACTTGGTTGATGAGTCACTGAGAAAATTGGAAGCATGTGGATAATGTATATCCTTTTCCATACATTTTGTTGTGATATCTGCAGGTATCACTTATTCCTGTGTGTACCTATACTGTTGGATAACCTTCCCTACATTTTAAATTTGGTGTCTTTCTTGAGCAGGGTATAGAGAGAGAATTTCACTTCAAAGCTCAGAATTGGATGGAATCTGTTCAGTCAGAGCAAACTGCCAGTAGGTTGCAAGAGGGTTGGCAGCCATTATAATCCAGAGGTCTGGGAGTTTTAAAAACTGTTGGGGAAATTGAAAGGACAAGTTGTAACTTATCCAATTCTCAAAGCCACGATGGTTCACATCCCACTGGAATTTTGCCTGGCATTTTGAAACAGGGGATGATATAGTAATTGGTGGCACCATTGACACAAAACAGGGATGGATACAGGTCTGATACTTCTCCTCTGCTTACTCTCAGCAGAGGGTAGGCCAATATTCCTTGGCACCTCATAGCCATCATTTACAGGGATCATTGTCTTACAGTCTGGAAGCAACCTGTGTGGTTCAGTACATTACAGTTTATTGCCTGATGGCAACACAGTAGGAGAAACAGTACAAATACTATTTTTGTACAGGCAACTATGTCCATGAGAAACTGATCAACATTATCTTAGATCCTGTGGCCTTGTGTTTTGTAGTTTAAAGGAAATTGTATCTTTTCCCATTCATCAAAGTGAGGGATGTCAGACCCCAGGAAAATGTAACAGTTTCCACCTGCCCAGTCACATTGCCTTAGGCAAGTTTCAGCAGAAGGGTAATTATGGAGCCAAATTGACGCTCCATCCCTGAAAGTAGAGTTCCTGATGGATTCTCTTTGTGAGAGTGTGAAAGAGAGAGAGAGAGAGAGAGAGATACCTTCCATTAATTCAACCATTACTCTACTGCCCATTTCCTAACTGACACCAAGTTCTTTTTACCTGTCTCCCTGTTGTCACAAACACCACATTCTCACCCCTTGTGTTTCAAATTGAAACTGAGTTCTGATTGTGTATCTGTCTGGAATGTTTCAAGAGTCTTGTTATCTGCAAGATGAATCATTTACCTCTCTATAGAGGGTGGTGTTGCCAGATGAAAGCCTTGAACTTTCACAAGGTGCGGTTCCCACAGGTGATGACAGTCCTTTGCTATTGTGTTCAAGTGGTCATGCTTTTAGCATTGCATTATTCTAGCCAGCAGATGTTGGCAGGAATCTCTGCAACGGGTGAATGTACAAGGCATTATTGTGCCTGCATCTGACCTGTCCTCATCCAAAGAAGGGACAGTTTTCTGAGCTGACTTTGCATTAGTAATGTCTTAAATGTCACAAGGTTTTATTTTGCTCATTCAAGAATATTGTAAGCCTGCCTGAATACTGCTGGAAATGATCCACCATATAGAAACAGGATTAGGTCATTCAGCCCATTGAGCCTGCTCCACCTTTTAATACAGTCATGGTTGGTTGAACACTTCAATGTCTGTTATCCACACCATCTGCATCAATAATCAGAAATCTATCAATTCCTACTTTAATCGTGCTCAAAGACTGAGCTTCCACAATCCTCTGGATAGAGAATTCCAAAGATTCACCATAGAGTCACAGAGATGTACAGCACAGAAACAGACCCTTTGGTCCAACTCGTCCATGCTGACCAGATAGCCTAAATAAATCTAGTCCCATTTGCCAGCATTTGGCCCATATCCCTCTAAACCCTTCCTATTCATGTACCCATTCAGATGCCTTTTAAATATTGTAATTATATCAGCCTCCATCACTTCCTCTGGCAGCTCATTCCATACGTGGACCACACTCTGCTTGAAAAGGTTGCCCCTTAGGTCCCTTTTATATCTTTCCCCTCTCACCTTAAACTTATGCCCTCTAGTTTTGGACTCCCACACCCCAGGAAAAGACCTTGCCTACCCTATCCATGCCCCTCATGATTTTATAAATCTCTCTAAGGTCATCCCTCAGCTTCTGACACTCCACGGAAAATAGCCCCAGTCTATTCAGCCTCTCCCTACAGCTCAAACCCTCCAATCTTGCCAACATCCTTGTAAATCTTTTCTGAACTCACAACATCCTTCCTATAGCAGGGAGACCAGAATTGCATGCAATATTCCAGAAAGTAGCCACAACATGACTTCCCAAATCCTATACTCAGTCCTCCTCTGAGTAAAACAATTCCTACTAATGTTGGTCCTATATGGCGTCTCCCTTATTTTTAAATTGTGTCCCCTGGTTCTAGCCTCCCTAACCAGGGGAAACAGCTTACCTGCATCTACCCTATCTATCACTAAGTATTTTATGAGCTTCAATGATACCACTTCTCATTCTTTGAAACTCTTGAGAATACAGGCCCAGTTTGCCAAATATTTCTTCATAGTTCAGTCCCACCATCCCGGGATCAAGTGTGGAAAACATTTGAGGTCGGCTATTGCATAGCAAACTGGGAAAAATCTCTTCTCTATCTTATTCCTGTCTCTTTCCTCCTAGCAAGAATGCGCTTTACTGAGTGACCATTTCTGAGTAATGCTCAGGAGCTGAAACCCTCTTTGATTTTTCCTCCACCTCTTCCAATTAGGGAAAACCTGTGGTGTTTAAGACATTTTTCCACAGTCCTGGTGCCATATTTGCTCACTGACAATTGAGCAATGGCCAACCTGAGGCATCCTTGTTTGTTTTTATAGTGCAGTGCGATTTAGGTTGGAAGCTGTATTTCTCAATTGAGGCAATGGGAATGGTTTAGCTAACTTAGTGTAATCCAGGAATTAGATATGCTTGCCAGGGTCCCGTACAGTGGGTCTGCACGTGCATAAAGTGGGCCTGTTCGCACACCTTTGAGTATATGTGTAATTTGGAACTGCGTGTATGGGCACATGGATCTCTGTAACATGGTTCTGAATGTGCATATCTGTATGTTCTGTTGGTCTGAGAATGCATGTTTGTGTATGTAACATGGACTTGTGTACATGCGCATGTGTATGTAATGAGGGCCTGCCCACAAGCGCCTGCATGTATGTGTATACACATCTGAAAAGTGGGTCTGTTTGTGTGCACACACGTGTCTAATATGGGTCTGTGCACACACTTGTGTGTAATATAGGTCTGTGTGCATGTGCGTGTAATAATCGCTTGAATCTTTGTGTGCAAGTTGCTTATCAACTGCACCACTGACCAGCTATTTCCCAAGTGGGGCCAACTGCTTCACAATAAGGTCAGAATGCCCTAACTCTTTGAAAGGTTCTGTACCTGAACAAGGTTGTTAGCAACTGTATTGAAAAGCAGAGAAGCTCTGTTAAACTTCCATTGACTCTTGTTTCGACCTCGCTCAAATAAAGATATAGAGGGACTGGAGAAGCTGCAAAGAAGGTTTACAAGGATGCTTCCACTTCCAGAACTGAGGGGTTTGAACTATCGGGTGGATAGAACGACCTGGGTACTATTCTATGGAAAAGAGAGATTGAGCGGTAACCATTTAAATTTTTTCAATATTTTGAGCAGCTTTGAGAGACAATATTTACACTTCT